TCCCCCTTCCTAAATAAATAAAACTAAATTATTCAAATTTTAAAAAATATATTGGACATTGTATTTCTTATTTTAAATTAATTTTGTAGCATTTAACTATTATTTATGCATTACTCTTTATTATGAAACTAAAATAATATATATATATATATATATATATATATAAGAAAAATTAAATATTTACTAATATATTCATATATTTTTTCCACGTTATATTTTCCAATTTTTTGAACAAGTTATTTCTTGATTTTCCATTTTCATGCTACATAGAATGATGGCATTGGAATGGCCTGGTACTGTGTATGGTGTAATAGTTGGGCTTAGGGCAACCATATCGGCTCAAGCCTTTTCACGATTTTTTTTAAATGACATTTAGGAGAGACCGAGAGAGAGGATGCCAAGAAAAAATGGAGAAAAAAGAAAAGAAAAGAAAAACTGACATCAAATTAAAAAAAAAAAAAATGAAAAAGTTATTAAAAAGGCGTTTAGTAAGCGCGTGCTATGCACGTGCCTAGTTGCCGCTCCCTGCGCTTTACGCACATGGATTCAGTTTTGCTTTGCCTTTTCTCTCATATGGTGGACTCCACAAAAAAAACATAAACTTGCATGAAAAAAAATTACCTCAAAAATCCATCCCCACATTTGTTAAAAATTCTTCCTTGATTTTTTTTATCCGCAAAAACTTCATAAAATTGGATGCTCTACATATTGAATTGATAGATATCTGGTAGGGGCATGTAGGCACACAAAGATGAGTGGAAGAAGCAAGCAATTACAGTAATAGAAATAGTTGTGCTTGTAGTAATGAGAAGATAGGTGGGTGGGTAGGTTGATGGAAATATATGTATATACTATATATAGATAGGTCATAGGTGAGGTAAATATTCATGCAGTAATGATAATGGTAAGGACTTTATTTATATTTTTTGTATTTGAAAAAAAAAAAAAAACTTAAAAATGATCTCAACAAAAAAAATTAAGTTACAAAAATTAATAAATAAATGTCTGTAATTTTAGATTTTTTTTTAAATTTGGAAAAGAAATTATTTTGAACCTTTTTTTTTTTTCATTTTTAAAAAAAGATATTTGAAAATTTTCTACATACTAAACAATCACACATTAATATTGTAGACCATTAACGGATTATGTACTTGCTACAGCTAACATATTTTGTACATATTGCAGTTAACATATTATAGACATTCAGTTAACGTACCTTCAATTTATTTACAAGTATATAATATGTTAACTAAATGTAAATGTATATAATATGTCAGCGGGATGTACATAATCTAGACTGGAATTATATTCACAATGCGCATAGTGGACTTTGGCTCATGATAAAATTTGTGGATATTGATTATTAATTTATATTTGGAAATTTTTATAGTTATCATGGAAAATTTTGTATTATGCATAATGGTCCCATAAAAATTGTTTGTATTTAATAAAATTGTATTATTTTTAAAATTTTTATTGATTAAATAATATTTAAATACATGGTATAATTGTTTTTAAATAGTATCCTCTACTTATTTTATAATTTATACAAAGGTGAAAGGAATATTCTTGATGAACACCACAATCTTCTGCCTTGGGATTTGCCACCAATGTTATGAACATTTGAAGAATCAAAAGATTATGAAATCTCAAAAGGAATCCCTAGTCAAAATATTTTGAGATTAAAATACTTGGAGATTTGTTAAGCACAAAATCCTACTTTTTGTTTCTTTGTAATATTCATGGATGCCAAGTAGACTATTGTAATTTTTAAAAAAATTACAAGTTATGTTGTCATGCGTTCCACGTGGCATCCATGTATACAAATAAAATTACACATGAAAAATTTACACGAATTTAGTTCAATGGTTCAGTAGACTGTATTTAGGAAAAAAAGACCACGGCAATGTGAGAATTATGCCCAATTCAAATTGGGCAGACATTTTTAAGAGTGTGGAGGATCCTTGGGGTTGGAGATTCAACCTTTTGGAGGAAGAAAATTACACATGAAAGCAGGGACGGAGCCAAAGGGGGGGCAGGGGGGTCAGCTGCCCCCCTCACTCCATATATAGTCTTTGTATGTATATATAGTATAGGGTTTAGTATTAGTATAAAAAAACTATAAAATATTAACAAGAAGTGAGTTAGATTAGGTGGTAGATTACATATTTGATATTAGTGAGGTCAATGGTTCAAATCTTGACATCAATATAGTTTTACAATTCATTTTACTCATTCCCCTATGACTTCAACAAAGTCACTTTTTTAAACACACACACACACACACACACACACACACACACACACACACACACACACACACATATATATATATATATATATATATATATATATATATATATATATATATATATATATATATATATATATATATATATATATATATATATAACATTCTTTTATATTAATAATAAGATGTATAATTTATAATGTGTTTTCTATTCAAATTATTTTATCAAATTAATTATGTTTCATATTTTGTTATGAATATTTTTATAAAGTTTCGATGTGTTTAATTTTTCGTCCATATCGAACAATATTTACAACTATATTTCTTAGGTAATTTATTTATTAAATTATCTCTTTTGTTTTAATGTTTCGCCTTTACTGAAAAAAAAAATTCGAATCCGTTTGTACTGTTTCGCCCCCCCTCAACCGAATTTCTGGCTCCGTCCCTGCATGAAAGTCATGTCAACATAACATACAATAGTAGATAATTTACTAGTAAAACAAGTTCTAATTACACATTTTCAAAAAGTTTGAGGGTTAATATGACCTTTTTGTAATTCGATAGTGCAATTAACTTTTCTTAAATAATTTGGGGACTTGTGTGGACATTCTCATTAGGAAAAATAACATTTATTGTCCTTAAATTATAAAATTAGTACGTTTCAATTCATCTCTCAATTATACTCATTGTCACCTATTGTCCCCGACCAATTGTATGTAAAGTGATTTATATTTTCCATGAATTATTAAAGTTGGGTTAAAAAGGTTAATTTGTAGATAATTGAGGCACAGAAAAATCCATTTCACAAACATTTGAGAGATTAAAAATGGCAACGATATAATTGAAGAATGAAAAATATTTTTGTTAGGAAAAATAGTAGAAAATGTTGTAGCGAAGACTACGTTAGTGTAGGCTGGATTGACGTTTTGCTGGAAAAATGAATTAAGAAATCTGTGACGTGTACTAGACAATGCCTTAAAAGCATTTCCCGGAGACTGTGCGGTCTTAGATTCCAGTCGCTTTCGACTGGCTAACACAGACCTGCTGCGATTAATTTGCACAATTAAATCGCAGGCGAACCTGACTTGTATTATTGCTCGGACGAGAAAAAGACAGAAGAGAAGATGATTGAAAGTGTATTGCTCGGACGAAAAAAAGGTGAACCTGACTTGTATTATTGCTTGGACAAGAAAAAGAGAGAAGAGAAGATGATTGAAAGTGTATTGCTCAGACGAAAAAAAGAGAGAAGAGAAGATGATTGAAAGTGTGTTTTAACTGTTTGGCTCGACAAATTTAATTTCTGAACGGGAATATTTAGCGATTAGCACACTACACCCACGAACCGAGCAAGCGAGTGACGATGCCGGCATATGCGTGGGGTTCCCTTTTCCTTTGCCTCTATAATATATCAAATGCTTTTAAGGAATTGGTAGTTTGGTACTTAAAATGAGGGGAAAAGCCTCTAATGAAAACAATATGGGACAAGAGGCTAAAAGAAACTACACCGTGTTGAAGGCTATATCCAACAACTTTTCTTATAATTCATGAACGACAATTGCTATTTCCCTTTATAATAATCTAGATTGCATGGAAATTGGAAACAAACAAACAAAAAAAAAAAAAAAAAAAAAAAAAATTGGTGGAAGATAATGGTGCCACTTACAGCACCGTTACAGTGTCCACAATGTATGTTGGACATGGGTCCATAGCATAATGATTGGTTTTAGAATTAATTGCTGTTTTTTTTCTTCTATTTCTTAAGTAGCTAGGTCAAAAATAATTATTGGACCCTCTCAAAGTTGAGGTATTGTACTCTTGGGCATTTTGCACAGTTTAAAATCCGACCTTGTTATTATTAACAATTTTTCTTTAAATATACATAAATATTAATTGTTTAATAGTTTCTTTTTAATTTTTAAAAAATTATGGAAACAATATTAAAACATTTATTAAGTTTTTATAAATTTGTGAGAAAAATATTTCTGAAATTCAAAAGCATTAATCTTTTAGAATTTCCGTTCATCATAAATAATATATAATACACAGAACATGTATATCATAATTCATAATACAATTATTTTTAGAATATAATCTCAATGTCTTGTCCATAGCATTAGCTTGGTTCATCACAAACTCCTAGACAAGACATCTCGTGTAAGCTGTCAAGAGTTGTTTGGGAAGATAATATCAATTGAATTTAATGATAAAAAAATGAATGAAATTTTTATTGATAATATAATATTTAAAAAATTTCACATATCCTAATTTAATGAGAGTTTTATAGATGTAATAAAAATAAATCAAAAATAAAATTTAAAAATCTTAGTTTAATTTTCTTTCCCTATTCTCTGTTTTTAATTTAGAAAATATATTTACCAATATTTATTTTCTAAAATTAATTTTTGAAGTATAAATTTATAAAATAAGATAAAGTTAAATTTTTAAGTAATTTTTTAAACCTAACATTTAGAATTTTTTTTGAGTATATTTAATTGAAATAAAATATATACTCCTTACTTTCAAATATATACTATATGACTTTTTAATATTTTATATCCAAAGTTTAAATGATATAACATGAACCAAAAACCCCACCCCTGATTTTCTTATCCTGTGTTGATTTACGAACTATTAAACAAAAACATGATTTACACCTTCAATAGTGGTTGCATGTTTTGCTCATCATTAAAAAAAAAAAAAAAAAAAAAAAAAAAAAAAAAAGATAATTTGAAGAAATGAAGCACAATGATATACAAACATAATAAAGCTAAATTTATTACATATTTTTGGGTCTTTTTTTCAAAGTCTTACAAGGTAGAATGAGCACTTCCATGAATATTACATAGAACACAAAGAAGGTTGCATGGGACAGTTGAGCTAAACAAAGAGATGCTTGCAAAACTAGGGGTTGGGCAAAAACCAGAAAAAAACAACCAAAAAGGTTGTTTGAGGCAGCCAAACAAAGTAGAAGTGGCTGCCCCGGCCAACGCCCCCGGGAGCGAAGCATCAGACCTAGAACTGCCAAAAGCAACCGCGGGTACGGGATCGAGGATGGAACAAGCGATCGACCGACCAACAACGACCCAAACCAACACGCGAACGACCCAAAAGGCTCGACCACGTGCAAGAGTCGACATCAAACTAGGAAGTTAACACACCTCGACAAACTAGATAACCTTAAACACAACCTTAGCCTAACATTGTTACACAACCATTGCAAGGCTAGAAGCTAAAAACCTTTTTTTTTTTTTTTTTTCTTTTTTCTTCGTTTTCTTTTTTTCTTTTTTTTTTTTTTTGGTTGAATGTAAGCTAGTACCTGACGAAGACCATCAAGAATCTTTGATCCAGAATGCCAGCATCTGTATTCTCAGGGAAGAATGGCTGTGGAGAATGAGACTCCCCGGGCGAGACCCAGAGAAAAAAATTCTCGAAACAGCTTGTGGAAGCTGCAAAAAATTTGAAAAACAGCCATGCTCGCTGGAAAAAGAGGAGCTGACACACCAGACCACGAGAACCCACGATGGACCCAAAAAGTAAACTACAAACCGAGAACATAACTGGACAACAGACACTACTTCAGATACCCCAAACTCGAACGGCCGATTAGGTTCACGAGAGGATATCGCACCTCCAGAGTCTTTCCACGAGCAAATCAACCCCGCGGTGGCTGATTCCAACGCAATTCTGTATGTTCAAGCCCGCAAGGCTATTGCCCAACTTATGCAAGTAAGGCAAGCACTTGTCGGATGCCAAAACACACCCCGATAGCGAAAGGATTTGCAAGCTAAACTGAATCGCACTGCCACCGGCTAATGCTGCAATACCAAAATCAGAGACTCGAGATTTGGAAATATCAAGATCGCGCAGAACTGAGCAATAGTCTGCAATTGCGGCTAAACTTGCATCGGTAACGCATCCACAACCGTTAAGATTGAGCAGCTCGAGAGTCTCCCCGTGTAGTTTAGCAATGGCTGAAATTGTTTTGTCCGTTACATTAATGCATCCACTTAGATTCACCTTGACTAAACCGGCATCGCAGCTCTGGACAAAGGGGAGAAGCCCGTAATCGGTAACGCCATTAAGGCCACTGAGGTTCAAATGCACGAGGTTAGGGCAAAGTCGACTCAAAACGACCAAGCTAGCATCACCGAATCCAGTGCAGTTACAAATTGACAAAGATCTTAGAGAATTGCAAGGAGGCAATGCCGGAACCCCAAATGCCAAATCCTTCATTCCAAAACAGTTCTCGAAAGCAAGAGCCTTCAGTTTCCCAGCAGAGTGTACAAGAATACCGAAAACCCCTGCCTGGCTGATCCGGTGGCATTCCTCTAACTGCAGGCTCTCAATTGACTCTGCAGCTTTAACGAAAGAAACCACACCATTGTCAGACAGAAGAGTACATTTTCGGAGGCAAAGTTGTTTCACGTTTGGGCAGCCTTTACTGACAGCTTCAATCCCCAAATCCGTAACTCCTTGGCAAGCGGTTATCACGAGGGACCTCAACTTGTGTAAACCTTGACCGGAACCCATGACCCAGAAGCCCCTCTCGTTTATGTTTTGAAGATTAATTAGGGCTAGGTCAGTCAACGCAACACCATAATGTCCAATAACAGCTAGAGAGATGTCACTGATGTTCAACGACTGGAGCTTGACCTTCATAAGATGGTTACCGGCTGATGAGAAAAGACTCGCAATTCCTTGATCCCCGACGAGGGGGCAGTTCTTCAGTGTAATAAACTTCAAGTTGGGGCAGTATTTGCCAAAAGCTTGCAGGCTTTCGTTCCCAATTTTCAAACAAGATTCTATAGTTACCGAAGCGAGATTGGGGCAGCTTTTTGCAATGGCCATCAACGATTTATCAGTAATTCCCGGGCATTGGCAAAGGTCGAGCTTCTCTAGCTGATGGCACCCACTTGCAATCTCGAATAAACCTTCATCACTTATGGATGAAATGTTCCAGAGAGAAAGAGCCCTGAGAGAAGGACAGCCTCGACCAATTGCCTTGAGGCCAGAATCGGTCACACCACGGAAGGAGTTGTTTCCTCTAATAGATAGCTTCCCCAATCCTCCCCGCCTTGCAGTTCCAACAGCAATAGCAGCAAGTCTGACATCTGTAGCCTTCTTCCCATCAAGGCACCTGGAAAGAAATCCATCGCCTTCCTCGTTATCTTGAACTTCAGAAACATTAGATTGAACAAACCCGTCCTTCTTATCAGACTTGATGAGCTCAGGTTGCATAGCGGTGGCATTGTCCCCTTCCTCGGGCTCTGAAGCCTCACCGCTTTTGATGGTTGAGAGTTCATCTCTGCAGATTGTACTTAAAAGCATAAGCCACCGCTTGGAAACACCAGCACAGGCACTCCTCTCCTGCCCTCCAACCGGAAGACGTCTGAAAATCTCAAAGAGACATTCATCGGGGAGGACTTCAATCGAAGCCTGTTTCTTCTCGTCGACTTTTTCTCCACTAAATACAAAGGGAGCATTGATGCGAGACCTCTTGCGAGAAGGAAAATACACATCCACTTGATGGCCAAGGGACAAAAAGAGAATTGAGTCCATGGGACTAGGGCAAAAATCATCACCACCTGGAATTCATATTTTAAGATTCATTAGCTCACAAGATACACAGACAAAATTTCCCAATTTCAGATCTAAAGTTTTAAATCATATCCATCATAAATCCAACTTGTTTAAAGGTGCTCAAAGACCACAAATCTGTATTTTTAAGCAACCAAACAGATCACAAACTTCTAGTCACAACCCATTACACAAACCACAGAAAGACCAAATCTTTCAACATATTATGATGAAAGAATAAAACATATACATATATAGATCCATCACTTTACACAGAACTTAGGAAGTACCAACATGGAATTGGAGTAATAATAGTATGGACAGATCTTAAACTTTGTTTTCAGCCTTATCAACCACCAGAAACAGTTTCCTTTTTTAATACAAATTCCGAATCTAAGCCAAGTCAGAAGATTAACAACTTCAGAAAGCTTCAGTAAATACAAGAAATAACAAAATCAAGACTTTTTATTACAAAGAGAGATACATGTACAAACACCAAGAAATCAAATAATTCCACAAACAGGGGAAGTAAACTCAGCAAAAAAGATATCAACTTTAACAAAATTAAATTCAAGAATTGAGGGCATACCACTGAATTCAAGGAGCTTAGACATGGGTACAACAGCTGGAAAACCCTAGGGAGATCAAATCCGAAAGGCAAGAGCCCCAAAAACCCTCCAAAGAGAGCAAAAACTGAGGGCTGAATCAAGAACAAAACCGTGACGACGATGATGATGATGATCAGTAGAGCTTCAAGAACTAGATGCATCAGAGGGCTGGAAGGCAAGAGGTCATCAAGAAACCCTATCAAACAGGGCAAAAAAAGAAAAGAAAGAAAGAAAGCAAATTGGTGAAGGTGAGGGGCGGTGGGGGGTAATGGGTATAGGAAAAATGGGTGAAGGTGTGTTTATACAATGTATGTATAGACTTTTGGTGGGTGGCAATGTGGCATTATCTTTATGTATGTATCATCTTTTGTTTGCATCTTTGTGTGAAGGTGTGAGGTTGGGTTCTTTTATCACTTTGATTTTTTCTTTTTTTATTATTATATCATTTGTTTGAGAGAGAAAGATAGAGAGTTGAAGTGAGAGAGAAAGCAGGCAGGTACATGCACTGAACTCAAACCTAAAACCTGGAAAGTGTCATATTCAATGTTTCCATTTTTTAAATTTATTTTTTTTACTAATTAAAATTGAAAAGTTGACAAATCCATTTTCCCCAAACTTACTTTCCAAGAAATAATTATTATATTCCATAATACAGGACATGAATAGACAAATCATTTCTTAAATACAACTACTTTTTATTTGGGAAAAAATGAGGTTATTAAATCTTGACACTAATATGGCACTACATGCAAATACAGAGAAGCTGGAAAAAATAAATGCTTTTATTATGATAAAAAAATTTCTATTATTGCATTGTTACATTTAATTATATTTTTTTAATCTTGCATTAATACAACGGTAATTTTTATTTAATTGTCACAATTAATTATTTTTTTAAAAAAAATTATCATTCTACTCTTTAATAAATATGACTAACATTTAAAAATTTTACTTTTAGTTATTGATTATTGTCGTATTGTCACATTTAATTCTATTCTTTTAATTTTGAATCAATACAACTGTAACTTTTATTTAATTGTCACAATTAGTCATTTATTTAAATTTTTGTCATTCTACTCTTTAATAAATATGACCGACATTTAAAATTTTCACTTTTAGTTATCCATTATTGTCGTATTGTCACATTTAATTCTATTCTTTTAATTTTGCATAAATACAACTGTAACTTTTATTTGATTGCCATAATTTATTATCGTATCCCCAACATTTAATTTTTCTCTATCTCTTGTAAACTATAATTGAATACCGATATTACATGTTAGCCACATTGATTAAATTGTGGAATAACAAAATTCTAAAAGAACAACTGTCACATTTAATTTTATTCTTTTAATTTTGCATCGATACACCTGTAACTTTTATTTAATTGTCACAATTAGTCATTTATTTAAATTTTTGTCATTCTACTCTTTAATAAATATGGCTAACATTTAAAATTTTCACTTTTAGTTATAGATTGTTGTCATTTTGTCACATTTAATTCTATTCTTTAATTTTGCATCAATACAACTGTAACTTTTATTTAATTGTCACAATTAGTCATTTATTTAAATATTTGTCATTCTACTCTTTAATAAATATGACTAACATTTAAAATTTTAACTTTTGGTTATCCATAATTGTAGTATTGTCACATTTAATTCTATTCTTTTAATTTTGCATCAATACAACTGTAACTTTTATTTGATTGCCATAATTTATTATCGCATCCCAACATTTAATTTCTCTCTATCTCTTGTAAACTATTATAATTGAATACCGATATTACATGTTAGCCACATTTATTAAATTGTGGAATGACAAAATTCTAAAACAACGACTAATTGTGAAAAACAAATTAAAGTTTAGAATGTAATATGAAAAAATTAATTGAACAATACTAAATATAGTAATATCACAATAGTAAATAACTAAAAGTGAAATTTTATCATGTTTACTTCAACCTTTTATTTTTATATTTTTAAAATTTTCTTCCTATAATTCTCAAAATTTTCTTCCTATATTTTCCATTTTTCAAAATTTGAGGATGTATAAGTAAATGATGAATTATTTATCTATTTTTTTCAAAATTGGAAGAAAAAATAGAGTTAATTCCAACGAAAGTCCATTATCTTTGGTGGTAATTCTAAATTTACTCTCAAATTATCGTTTTCATTATTTAACATCTTAGACTATATTTTTGGACACTTTTAGTCCTTCTGCTGACTCTTTCGATGAAATCCTATTTTTTTCATGTTCTCTTTCGGTTCTCTTCATACTTCATCTGGTTTTACAGAATTTTAATTTGCCAGCACCATCTACTTCATCTCCTTCAAATCCCTAACACCAACCACAAATCCTTCTCCCCCCAATTTGTTGCTAGTTCACAGAATCACTAGAGCAATTTGTCACTCAAAATCTCTCTGTGAGAGTCAAACTTGTAACTTTGTGGTTACTAAATCAACAGTCTGACTAATATGGTTAGGGTTGACCTGCATATTACACAACGTTGAACATATGTAATTTTTACGTTAGACTCCAATAATTCCTTGATTTTGAAAAAACTGCTTAGGGTAAATGTAATGAAATGTTAATGATTGAGATTAATGAAACATCTTCTTCCTTGTACCAAACCACCATTGTTTTCTCCATTAAAACACACATATTATGATTTAATTTACTGCTAAATGATAGCAGTTGAATGTCTCTTAGGCCACTTCCAGTGAAGGCGCCAAACGCCAAAATGGTGAAGAATTTGGCGATGATCCTTCTCCAACGAAGGCGCCATTTTTCCACCATTTTGGCATTTGTCTACAGTGCAGCGTCATATTTGACAATGCACTGTAGATTAACGTCAAAATGGTGTAAAAATAAAAATGTCAACTTTGCCCTTTGTCTTTTTATTAATTCTTTTTGTATCCTTATTTTATTTTTATGGATTTACATATTTTGTTAAATATATAAGCATAAAATTTGAATAATTACAAATAAATTATACCATTTGAAAGATCTCATCAAGACGATTAAAACAAGACTAATATTAGATATAGATTAATTAAAAACTAAAGTACATAAAACATAATTTTATTAGTTATTTTTAAAAACAAAATTTCTTATTATTGTATTGTTACATTTAATTATATTCTTTTAATCTTGTATCAATACAACTGTAACTTTTATCTAATTGTCACAATTAGTTATTTTTTAAAAAAAAAATTGTCATTCTACTCTTTAATAAATATGACTAACATTTAAAAAATTTACTTTTAGTTATTGAATATTGTCGTATTGTCCATTTAATTCTATTCTTTTAATTTTGCATCAATACAGCTGTAACTTTTATTTAATTGTCACAATTAGTTATTTATTTAAAATTTTCTCATTCTACTCTTTAATAAATATGGCTAACATTTAAAATTTTCACTTTTAGTTATAGATTGTTGTTGTTTTGTCACATTTAATTCTATTCTTTAATTTTACATCAATACAACTGTAACTTTTATTTGATTGCCATAATTTACTATCGCATCCCAACATTTAATTTCTCTCTATCTCTTGTAAAATATTATAATTGAATACCGATATTACATGTTAGCCACATTTATTAAATTGTGGAATAACAAAATTCTAAAAGAACGACTAATTGTGACAACGAAGCCGTAGGAGATTCTGTTTCGACAATATGTGGCTCCGGGAAGAGGTGTGCAGAGGGGTAGTCGAGCAGAGTCGGAGTAAGTCGCGGGGGTTGGATATTTTTAAGCGGGTTGAGCTGTGCAGTCAGGACATCTAGCGGTGGGGACGAGTGTATAATAAGGGTTTCCAGCAGCAAATAGATAAGTGTAAAGAGCAGCTTGAGAGGCTAAGATCACGAAGGGATCCGTTGGGGTGTGCTGACTAAGATAAAGTCAAGAGGGAACTACTGGCCCTACTCGACCAACAACATGTCTACTGGTGCCAACGGGCCAAAGAACACTGGTGGAAGTAGGGTGATTTAAACACCAGGTTTTTTCATAACTTGGTAAGGACAAGGAGGCGGCAGAACAGGATAACGAGGCTGAAGGGGGATGATGGGATGTGGACGGAGGGGGTTGATGACATTGGAGGTCTGATGGTGGACTACTATCAGAATCTTTTCACAGCACAAGCAGGTGATGAGCGGGAGGTTATTTCTTGTGTGGCTAACCGTGTGACTTCGGTTGATAATTTGGAGCTGGAACGGACAGTGAGCATGGAGGAGGTTCGCCGGGTTGTCTTAGCTATGCACCCAGATAAATCACCGGGCCCCGATGGCTTTGGGCCGGGTTTTTATCAGCACTTCTGGCCTATGTTAGGGGGGAAGTAATGTTGTTTTGTCGTAACTTCATTGAGACGACGAAGCTCCAAGCAAGGCAAATGACACACTAATAGTTCTAATCCCAAAAAACCTGTTTCGGAATCAATGAAGGACTTACGTCCAATCGCGCTATGTAATGTTCTATATAAGATAGCCGTGAAGGTTTGTGCGAATAGGTTGAAGACACTTCTTGAAAAGCTAATCTCAAAAGCACAAAGTGTTTTTTGTGCCCGGTCGCCTTATAACGGATAATATAATGCTGGCTTACGAAGCGCACCACTACCTAAAACAGAAGACAGAAGGGAGGGTTGGTGTAGTAGCCTTAAAAGTGGATATGAGCAAAGCCTACGACAGAGTTAAGTGGCGATTCCTGAGGTCAGTAATGTTGAAAATGAGTTTCAGTCACAAATGGGTCAGCATTATGTTGGAGACTGTGAGCTGTGTTCAATATCATATACTACATGAGCAAAGGTGGTTAGGGCCCATCATACCAGGGCGGGGACTAAGGCAGGGTGATCCGCTATCACCATACTTGTTTCTAATGGTGGCGGAGGGGCTGAGTGCTCTCATTGATAATAGGATGAGTAGAGGGTTGTTGCATGGCGTTCGAGTTGCGAGGGGGGCGCTGCCGATCTCACATCTCTTGTTTGCCGACGAATGTTTTCTCTTCTTACGTGCGAACCCGGAAGAGAGTTATCAGATTAAGGAGGTAATGAATGTGTATGCGCAGGCGTCTGGCCAATTAATTAATTATGATAAATCAATGCTTTGCTTTAGTTCCAATGTTGATGAGATAAGCAAGAATAGTGTGGTTAATATTCTTGGGGTTACACAGGGGGACACGGCAGCGAGGTACCTAGGTCTGCCCTCTCTAGTTAGCCGCAATAAGAAGGCTATTCTTGGTTTCCTAAAGGAGAGAATTCTAAAACGAGTCCGAAGTTGGAACTCCCGATTTTTGTCACGAGCTGGTCGTGCAGTCCTACTTAAAAATGTTTTGCAAGCGATGCCTTGTTTCTCAGAGATGGTCTTTGCCCTGCCTACCACCCTTTGTAGTGAAATT